ATAAAATAGACTTGACATAATACATAGCATTGAAAAAATATATATATTTTTCAAAAAACTAGGTTATTATTCCACTCTAAAGTGTTAATGGTACACTACATTTTTTTTCACTTTTTTTCTCCCTTTCCTTTCTTTCCTTCACGAGTAAGGTGAGAATAATATTTCGAAAATCTCATTAATTATACAGATATAAATAAAAATAAAAGCACAACTTTCCAACTTTTACATTAACACTTTAAAATGTAATAATATCCCCACGTAAGGTATAATTAAATTTAAAACTAAAATCAATAATGGTGTTGATTAGCACTTTAATATAAGTTTGAACTCTAAACTTTACTCTCAAATGAAAATTAGCCAAATAGTATTGGATGCGATTAACCATAATGAAAAGACAAGTTTAAATTGCTGTATTATTATTATTATTATGAATGAGTTTATATTTGAATAGGATTCGAATCTTAATCTTTAAGTCGAGGATACACTTTATAAGTAAATTTATAATCGTTGAGTCATAAGACTCATATGCAAATTGTTATATTACTATTTTAATGATATTTAATTCAATAATTAAAATTAACCAATCTTAAGTGAGTAGTCTAACATCCAAATAATTTATAAGATTAATTAGGTTAAAAGTTAAATCCTTCATTTGGTTTCACTATACATATATATATTTTTATCTTCATTATATTTTTTTTAAATAAAGGTAACTATTTACAATTATTAAAGAGTTCGAAAAGAAAAAGGAAGTTGAGAATTAAAACTCAAATTAATATTTAAAATTCAAACCTTCCAATGTTATTTTCATTTAAGTACAGAATGGAACCACTCCATGCACAATGTCAATAACATTTGATTTTGCTCTTTTTTTTTTTAACAAGTTGTCAAGTGAAAAGTTTGAAACTCGTTTATAAAAAAAAATGTATTTCAAGTTGACAGGATATTAGTTGACCTTCGGATTAGTGCAATTTCACTATTTAAAATAACTAATAACTATTAATTATTATTATTTTTAAAATCTATAGGCTATAATTATTAATCAAACCAAATGGATAGACTAAAAAAAAAAAAAGAAAAAGAAAAAGAAAAGAGATACCAATTAATCCAAAAATAATTTTAATGTTTATCTCGTTTTATGTCAATGTGATAGTGACCCTTGTGAGGAGAAATTGGGTGCACTGTGAGTCTGTACTATCTGACATAATCTCTATCTTATTTGGCGGGAATAGTCCGCAATTACATATCCCACCGACCGACGGCGAACTGGCGAACGGCAAACTGCCACACAGCGCTGCGTTTCCGTCTCACTTTTCCCTTTTTCAGATCTCTTGATTTATTTCGAGTTTATTTTCAATGGCTAGGGTTTCCTTTTGAATCCAGCAGGGAGTTGAGAATGGATTCCATTGATGGATTAACAACACCCGACGACCAAATCCAATCTTTCTTCGATTCAGCTCCTCCCCTCAAAGATCGCCCTGAAATCAGCCACAAATTAAACCGATTCATCGAGTTCAACTCTCAGTCATCAGGCAAAAAGATTAGAATACGTCTCTTCTCCTTGGACGTTGTTTGATACCCACTTTTATCTGATTGATGAGTTCCGGTTCTGCAGGAGATGGAAGACGGAGGAGGGTTGTTTGTGTCACGTCCGGCGGAACCACTGTTCCTCTGGAGCAGCGCTGCGTTCGGTACATTGATAATTTCAGCTCAGGCAGTAGAGGAGCGGCATCTACGGAGTATGCCAATTGTTAAACCCAACTCACTTGTTACGAACTCTAATGTATAATTTATTGACTGTAATTTGATTTTGCTTGTTTTGCAGGTATTTTGTGAAGGCTGGATATGCGGTTATATTTTTGTATCGAAGGTGAATTTCTTGTTTCTCGCTTATTGTGTTTTTTACTTGCTTTGAAATCTTATGTGGTTGCTGTATGTATGGGTTGATCATTGCAGGGGTACCTGCCAACCATATTGTAGGGCTCTTCCTGACGACCCATTGCTGGAATGCTTTGAGTTTGCTGATCAGTCTCATATTCAAGGTTTGTAATTTCCGATGATCTTAAAGTCAATTACTAGAATGTTTCCCCGTGAGAGAAGCCCTGAATTTTATGAATTATTCTAATTATGTATGCTTTATAGAGGATATGATTCAGATGAATTAACTATAAGGGTATTTCTTAATTAAACATCTCAAATTCAGCTTAGGGAAGGTGAGTTTATATTATGTTGGGGAGATGTAGATTTCATTAAAAATTTTGAGGATTTACATGGGGGAGGGATGATAACTTCCTTTCTTCCTTTTCGTTTTGGCCTTGTGATGTCATTGATATGCTAATTTTTACTTGAAATGACATTGATGTTTTCTACTAAGTTTACTGCATTATGTCTAATATTTCAGTGCGGGACTCACATTCTGAAGCAGTGAAGAGAGCTATTAGAGATCATCATGCTGTATGGACTGTTGATATTGGCAATTTTTAATGTTCTGATTATTATGGTTTCTGAACCAAAAGAAGTTTTCATAATTGGCCCTACACTAGCTTTTGACTCTGACTTCATGATGCATTGTTGTTATTTATCATAACAGTTGGCCACTTGTGGTTTCACTTTCTTGCAGGCAGTAGCTGGGGGTCACCTTCTAAAACTGCCCTTTACAACCATATTTGAATATCTTCAGGTTAGGTTCAGAAAACTTTAAAATCTTCTGTTATGTTAATAGTGGTGATTATTTCCATGTGGGCATTGAGAATTGCTCTTGTTACAGCTTCCTTTGGATTTGAATAATGCCACAAAATTTTGTCAAAAATTTTAATTAATGCAGCATTCATGTTACTTTTTGATATTGAAAAAATAAATACAAACACTGAAAGTTTTTCAAATCTTTTTGAGGTAGCTGATCCATTGAAAGGTTTCTGATAGTGAAAGTAGCCTACTTTTGTGTTTGAACTTTGAAGTGAATTTTATGCCAATGAGTACAAATGTGGAAAGGCAATGCTCTTTTTGTCAAGATATTGTAGCCTGGCAGCTAAATTGATTTCTTCTGGTGATGATATAATTGTTATCAATTTTACTTTATCAGTGACTGAATGGTTTTGAAAGTATTGAGTTGACCATTTTGTGGAAGTTATTTCCTTTTTTCTAAACTCTTTGGTCTTGTCAGAGCAGATGCTACAGATGATTGCAATATCAATGAGGAGCCTTAGGCATCATGCAATGTTTTATCTTGCTGCTGCTGTCTCTGACTTCTATGTTCCATGGAAGAGCATGGTAACAGTCAAATATATCAGAATCTTCTTGGTTTTTGTGAATTACAATAAATTGTGTTTACCTTGATTTAGGCATTTAAATTATGTTTTATCTACACCACATGTTTGGCATTAAACAAGCCTGATTAATTGCACAGGCAGAGCACAAAATCCAATCAGCCTCTGGCCCTTTGGACATGCGACTTATGCAAGTTCCAAAGATGATCTCTATTCTGAGGAAGGAATGGGCTCCCACGGCTTTCTGCATATCATTCAAGGTTGATCATTGTGTAACTTCAATGTTTACTTCAGAAGATGGATAGATTAAAGAGTAGTTATTACACTTTAAAAACAGGGACTTATTTAGCATTTGGCTCTGATATTTTTTTACCCTCTGCTTCTCTACAGCTTGAGACAGATTCAAAGATTCTCTTAGACAAGGCTGGGATGGCTCTTAAAAAGTTCCAAGTGCATGCAGTTGTTGCAAATGAGCTGTTGACGAGGAAAGAGAAGGTTATGGTTGTGACAAGCAATGGAAATATTTCTGTTTCCGGGACAAGTCTGAGGTTAGTTCTGATGTGGAAAATCCTCTGGTTGAACTCCTTGTGGGCAGACACTTAGCTTACATCAAGGATTTCGATACATAAGATTTTGGAAAAATGAGAGATAGGTGATATACTCAACACAGCTTTCAAAGCGACATTTATATGCTTTTAGTTTCTCTATTTGGTCAAAACGTCTCTCTGCATTGTTGTAATTTCCTTTCCTTACTGATGAAATTTGTTGAAAGGAATGAGAAACATGGAAATTTCTTTTCAAAAAATAGTATTCTTGTAAGTCGTATTTTCTTCTTAGTTACCTCTTTCTTTATTGAAAAAGTATAGTGCAGTCTGAATTGTATCAAATTGCACTACATTAACTATTGGATGGGGATTAAATCCTCTGATATTGAGAGATTCTCCCTTCCTTCAATAGTTTTTTGTTTAACAGTTTGGTGCAATTCAAACTATAAAACAAAGTTCCCTTTCTTTATTCCTTTCCGGATACGAATGTCTTAACGGACTCCACCGGAAATGGTTCTGAATGCGTACTTTTGTAACTGCATTGGTGGACCTGGCACTTTGGTTTCAGGGTACACTGGTACAGTGCTGGAAATAAGAAACGGACGGTTTTAATTTGTAACTTGTTTCTGCAGCTGTTCAGATCATCAATCCTGCCCCTTCTTGGCCTCTGTTTTCAAGTTTATTGAATAAATTTGACATCAATAAAAAATTGGAGGTTGAAATTTATACGGCCTCATTCATGAGACGAGCTCCATAGGTAGGGCTGAGGTTTGTTCGAACATGCTTATTAGATTTAAGTTTTTTGTGCTTCAAGAAATTTTCCTCCTCAGACTTCCTCAGCCCAACTTTGGTGAACAATTACTTACTGGTGGCACACTGGAGTGACACAGAAAAACGCCTTCAGTAACTAATAGCAATTTCTCATTCCTCTCTAATCTATGTATATAATTCTATATACAGTTTTTCTCTTTGATGGAAATTTTCATATCAGGTATATGGTGTCTAAGGGAGCCAGTATGAACACTACTTTCTACATTGGTTTATCATCGTCGTCTTCTGTGTCAAGTTCAAGCCCCTCCGCCTCTAAAAGCCGACTGACATCAATTTTGTTCTCCTCCTCCGCTTTCTTTCTCATCAAATCCCTTTTCTTTAACACGAGTATATGGCGCCTCATTGTGGTATTAAAAAACTCTACTGATGCCTTCTTTTCTTTTGCCAAGATTTTTCTTTCTTCTTCAGGGTCATTCTGCAACAGCACCACATAAATATGCACCTTGAGGTGAGTTGTTCTACCAAAATGCAGGTGCTGTGACTACAAAAGCACTTGCTACTTGTCTGAGAAAAATGTAAAATGATTGTTCATGGGATAACAAAAGAACAGTAATGGCCATAATGGATTATGATTTCCGGACACCACTCATAGTATTCTCAAGCTCAGACTGAACTCCTAGCCCTAATTATTAACATGAAACTAGAGAACATCTTAGTTTGTATACTACATACTTCAAGCAGATTTCTTTTCTCTATGCTGGTTATAACCTTCTACTAATAGAAATTAGTTACTAGGTGAGCAGAAAACACAAAAAACTTTAGTCTTGGAGAATTGTTTGAAATACTTAAATACCTTAGTACGAGAAAGACGGCGAGCACGGAGAACCCTTTCCAACTGCCGCTGTTCGGCCCAAGCATCAACAACCATCTCACCCCGTTGATCCCAAGCTTTTCGCTTTTTCATAACCCACTCTGCCCATGCTTTAGATGCCTATATGAACATTAAAATTGAAAATGAAAACCCATCAGCTTCAAAAATCATAAGTGCCATTGTGAGGACATCTGGACTGTACATTATATCAAAATGTATCCAAGAGGAAATTCAAAGTTGTAGATTTTACCTTCATAGGATTGACTCGGTTATCCATATCATACTGCTTACGTTTTTCCACATCTATGAGCAATTCATAAGCAGCTTGAATTTTAATGAATCTAGCTTCAGCAGTTTCACCTTCTTCGAGAGTCCCTCTACCATCATAGACTTAAAAATGGAAAACTGATTCGTTAGTAAAAATAGAGGCAAAATTTAGGCAACATATAAGCACAATACCACTGCCAAAAAGAGGAAAAGTCGGGTTGATGGCTGCAGAAGTCGTCTACATATGGAGAAAAGTTTCTAAATTAGCTTTGTTCAACATCTAAATCCATGAACAAGTAAAGATCAAGCAGCCAAAAGATTCTACTAAGCCTAACTACTAAGCTGAACCAGAATAGGGAAAAAGGAGATATCAAAAAAAGCAACAAAAGAAAACTTCACCCTCCCTTCAAAAAGATGTCAGATGCTGGGTTTTTATTCAGTGTACCTGGACCATTTTCACAACAGAAGATGGCTCCTGCCATCAGACACTCCCAAATAAACTCCCAAGATGAAAGAGTCCTATACATATCATAACTAGCTGATGCAATAAAGGAAGAATCCTCAGAGGAACTATCTATAATTTTAAAAATTATATATATTTAGGGTTAATTAGCAATCAAAATGTAAATCTAGGATATAGTAGAAATTGTAATATTTAGGTTATGGTTCCTATTTATAGCAGGATTACATTATGTCTTTCATTATAAATCTTTGAAATTCCGTTACTCTTTATTTTTAAGGTACAACAATACATCATATTATGAATCGAATAAAAGATTTGCCCTCTAATGTTTTCTCGGTCCTCTAACCTAATTCTTCCCCATTCTCATGCTTTTCCCTCTAAATTTCCTCTCTAGCTTCTACTTTCTTTCACTTTCTCATTCCTCTCTCTATTTTCTCCACTCATATTCCTCTCCATCTCTTGTCCTGTCACTACTCACTACTTCAGCAGCTACTGCCAAAAGAGTACATTGATGATGAGCAATCCGCTCAAAATAAGATATGACATAGGACTCGCATTGCCAGTACCCTAAGACATTGCAAGTTTGAAACTTAACATTTGAAAATTTAGAAGTCAAGGCCAAGGATCATACCATCAGGATGATAGAATTTGGCCAAGCGCCTATACGCTGTCTTTATCTGCTCTTCATCAGCATCCCCTTTTAACTCTGTTCAAAAGAAAATATTGACATATATATCATCAGTTAGAAGGATGGATTGATTACAGATAGATGAAACAACAAAAAACATTTCTACAACACAGGAATGAAGAAACACAACAATTCCAAATTCTCTCATGACACAGCTAATATGACAGCTCTCGAAAATAATGAAACATCTATGCACCATTTTACCTCCTTTTTCTCACTAAGGAAGCAGGTACTAAGCTCAAGGGACATAACAAAATACCAAGAGTTTCGTAAGGAGACTTTGAGTCCTTCCAATTCGCTGCGTTGGCAACGGTTCTCCTCTGATTGACGCGGAACCACAGGTCAGTCTTCTTCAAGCCTCTAGAAGAACCGAACCATGTAGAGGAAGTTAACGGCGACGACGATCGACGCCAGCGATCGGAGTTCTGAAACGAAACCCTAATTCTTGATCGAGCTGGATTCCCGCCGAAACACAGGAACGAAGAGAATACAGTATGGGGTCTACAGACGGTCCTCAAATTGCTCATCTTTTCCCACCGGAATTATCGAAGTAATAAATTAGGGTTTGGATTTAGGTTGAAATTTGGGGATTCTGCATGCTTCTGGGGAAGAAAGTGAAAGAAGCTCTGAATCTTTTTGTTTTCTTCGTTTTTTCTTCAAAGGGAAAGGAATCCGAAATTTGTGGACAGTTAGGCTCGCGTCTACCATTGCCACGTGTTCTGGACTTCCATTTTTGTCTTTATATTTTTATAATAAAGAATTCGTATTTTACTTCCAAGCAAATGATACAATGATATTGGTATAACAACTACTATTAATAAATTGAGTTTAAAATTTTTAAATTTTTACAAAAATTTTGCACAACATATGGTAGAGCTAACTCAGTTACATGGTTTTCTTTTTGATACACAGCGATACAATTCATATTTACACATTTTCATGCTTCAAGAAGCTGCTTTGGACAAAGTATATAAACAGATTAGACAGTGGTTTATACAGTAACAAGAACACCAATATTTTCTTAGCACAACTGGGGATCAAATCCCTTTGACTACAGCCTAAGATATGGTGGCTTTGTAAGTTCTACCTTACAGGCCACGCAGGTTCACGAGGACGAGCAGCCCAGAGCGAGCTTAGAGCACGAAGACGATGGAAGTACTCTCCTAAAGCAAGCAACCCTCGAGCTGTTTGCCGGATTGTTAAGATTCGAGACATTTGCTGCAAGGTTTGTTGCCGAAGGTGGTCTGCCTGTTTTGGACAAGACCAACATGAAATATTTTCTGGTAAGATAATTGTCATGGTGCAAATGGAACTTAAGACTTCACGCTATATGAACTTATTAAGGGAAATTTATGACTAAGAAATAAATCATGAAAGATGAATGATTCAATGCAGTTTATAACATCTTTCAAGAGGTTATATATTACCTGGTTGACAAAGCTCTCGAGGGCGTCCAGTTTATCCACAGCAGCAGCCATCTGAGACCTAAAACCCACTGGATGAGCTGCTAAAGTCTGAGCTAAAGTCTGCTGGAGTTTTTCTATTCCTTGGGAGAGAGCATCTTCAGCTTGCTGAGAAGATTGTCGGAGGTTAGAGACCTCCCCAAGTTGTTTTTCGGTCAAGGGCTCAAGTTGTGGCACAACAGCCTGTTTGACCAAAAAAATAGCAGTTTCATGTTTCAAATTGGTGCTGCACTATAGTTGAAGAAAAAAGAGGAACAAGAAGAACAAGAAGATGGAAATGGAGCAAGTTAAAGCAAAAATTGCAAAGAGAACAGCCAGCATGATCAATGATCAAAAAACAGATGTGCAGCTAACTTTAAAAAATGAGTTATGCCAAACTAGACGTTACATTTAAAAGCTCTGATGGACGAAATCCTCCAATCCAGTGGAAAAAACGTTCTGTTGATGTTCTCCAGATTCCAGAGATCAAATAGAAAACATCTGCCTTAGCAGCATTCTCTTTCATCCGGAAAAGATTGTAATAGTGCTTCAAGCCATTCTCTACCAGTATACGGAGTTCAATATCAGTTATATGTACTTGTAGTGCATTCCTAAGCTCACAAATCTGTCTACTCTGCTCCTCAACCCAGTGTGCATATTCCATCTCAAATGTAGTAATTCCTACAAATTTCAGTTTGCAGTAGTGTAAAGTGAAAACCAGGACATAGTCAGAAGAAAGCAAAATGAGTGAATGCAATATCCCAAGAGAAACACTTTATGCAAGAAAAGTTTATCATTATTTAGGCTCTGATGAGGCAAATATCTAGTTTTCTTTTATCTTTTATATCTATATCAAAGCAATCTTTCACATAAATCACGGAATGACTGACTTGATTGGTACTGCTGGTCAACCATCTAACATGGATATCACACAAACAAAACAAACCCATGCTTATGACAAATTCAAAAGGAGAATCCACTAGGTGAATATAGTAATGAAAAAGAAGCTAAACTTATAGATGTGACTCAGTAACGATAATAAAAAGCAGTTGATGCCACAGAGTCACAAACCCGAATTTGCAGTTGAAGACAGTCCCAAATAACCAGTATCTGGACTGCCTATGTGTAGACCCTGCATTAAGGCATTTGCTGATCTGTTAATATATACAAAATTTATATACCGGATCAACATGGAAGTGCATTTTGATAAATCATAAAAGAACTAAAAGAAAAAACCAATTTTCTCCTCACCTGCTGCCTAGCTCTGTCAACTTCCTGCTCCAACTGAGTCAATTTCAAGCGGCTACTTTCTAATTGTTGAACATAAGCCTATAACAAAAAATAAAAATGAAAAATCACACTAACTTTGATGTCTTAAGGGTACCACCACAAGCATAGAATTGCTATGTTAGTGTTTTTCCTTCCACCTTTTTCCGCAGACGACTTTTCCGAGCTGCTTCACGATTTTGTGCCAACCGTCGCAGCATCTGTACGTATTACAAGTCTCTTTACATAAAAGATTTTAAACTTGAAAGAAAAGGTAAGAGAGACAGAACAAGTAGTTGTAGAAAAGTAAAACTGGTATTTCATTGTAGCAGAAGAGGAATGGACACAGCATCAATGGGAAGTTAAATCTCAAAATGATGTCTACTTGCCAAAGTATTTAATTAGAGGGACGACATATATTGAACATCCATGCCAGATTTCTTAATTAATCTACAGAAACCATTGAACCTTGAAGACAAAAATGATGAAACACTGTAGAAGATTTCATATGGATAGGCTTAAAGATCATCACAATCATTATCATCTCGGATCTGCTGAAAGAACTCATGAAAATGTGGGACATATTTAGACACCAAATTGAGACCATAGGAGCATTTAATATTTTAAAAGGAGGAAAAAGATGATTATGCTACCAGAAAAAGGGTTTCCAGAAGAAAAACTTTCATTTCATTAAAATAGAGATTAAAGAAGTGGGATAGAAGCAACCTTCCATTTTCAGTTTATGACCATGGAATCAAGTGGCACATGCATGCTTCAAATAAAGTACCGTGAGAGTGGGAATAGAGGAAAGGAACCACAAGATGCAACTTTATTACCTTTTCAGAAGACTTATCTGCTTCTTGATCACTTCTGGAATATTGCACTGGCTCACAAGAGATATATTCCGACTGGAGAATTCATACGAGAATAATCAACTATAGAATTGGAGAACGCAACTAAGGCACCAATAAGACAATAACAAAGGAGAAAAATTTATGCGTTTTCACCTGGTTCTCTAGCCTAGCATCTGCCTGGACAACCGTGGATGAACCTGTATTTGGACTATCATCACTTTTAAAGGTGTCACCAATTCCCCACCTGCTTAACTGGTGGAATGGCTCATAGACACCGATTGTTGTGGTGGTAAGTTGAGTTGAGGGAGAGCTCATACTCTTCAAGCAATTAAATCTGAAAAAATAAAGATTTGTTTATTTGGATTCAGAAATAACAGAATGCATAACAAAAAAATTGTACTACCAATTTCCTTTTCTTGCATTCAATCTGGTTTCCATTCCCTCTTTGATCATGTTCAATACTATCCAATTTGATGTAATAGGTGAGTTAGACCAACATAAACATTGAATATGGGAGTTGGATAGCTCAACATGTTTGTATAATCTATAAGATGACCCTACGATATCTTCTAAGCTTTATTTATTTCCTTCACAGAAACTTTGAATATGAGAATAGTATAGATCAAGATGTTTTTCATTGGAGAGCTGATACAAAGAATCAAAGCCGCCGAAAAAAAAAAAATTGTAGCTGATCTACACTAAATATTGGGGAATAGAGAAATCTATCACTGTAAATCTTCCTCAAAGGAAGTATAACCAAAGATGCGGCATCATAACCTGCTTCTGAACTAAGATACAAGGCCGGGGATGAAATTTGATTATCTAATATAAAAGAATCGTAAACATGTAATCATCACACACTGGTTTACTAGAAAGTAAGAATAAATAAATTCACAAGCTTGAGCCAAAATGTGGGACAACCAATTACCCTTTTCATTCAGTTTCTGTTAATAAAGACTGGTATACTAACTTTTCAATCCTTACATTTCTAAGCCACCAAAAATTACCCAGAAATAACAGAGCAAGAAAAGTGGCAGACAACCCAGCAAACCAGAAACTCGTTTGAATAATTACCAGAAAAGGGTCATAATCATAAACCAAAAAGACTGAAAATTTAGATAAATTTCTTAAGAACTAACCTGCTTATCAATTAGGTGCAACCCCCAGAACCCGTATGCTCCTTAGTCAGCCGAATCAAGACTTCAGTCCCTTCTACACGCCTTATAGTCTCTCTGGATCAACACCATCCACTCATTGAAAAGCAAACAAAGAATCAAAAGCAAAAAGACCTAGGAAGAAGAACGGATTTTTTTGGTTTTTGAAAGCGCTACAGTCAGACTTTAACGTCCATTTGTTCCCACTAGAAGGAGCAAAATATGATACCCTGCAACAAGCAAAGCAATACTACTTTGACGGAAAAAAAAAATATGCGAACCATTTTATATCCTGCGCACTCCCACTCCTCTAAACTTACGCAACTCCTTACCTCAATTCGCGTCCACAGATGACGTCATTTTCCGGCGAAAAATTCCGCCGTGGGATTTCCCGGGAATCCAACGTGGAGCCTCACAACTGGACGGCCAGCTGCGTGGTTGGTAATCGTGGCACAAAGCCACTTGCCTTTGCAAAAGACGAAAAGAGTAAATAAAATTACCAATTTACACACAAAAGCTTTTCTTTTTGAATAAACAGACCCTCTATTTTAACAAAAAAGTGCAATACAGTACTTCAATTTTATAAATTAGTTTTTTCTTTTTTAAGTTGTATTTTATTTTTTTTTTATACTAATCTTTTGGTATCTAATGACCACATTGAGTCATGATCAATTCAGAATCGAACCGCATCGAATCCTATTTGGGGGAGGTTTTCTCAACATTTATTTCTTCATTCATAATACTCAAATTCAAGATTTTATTTAAGAAAAACCGTGCTCCTTCCAATCAGACCAACAAGTCGTTGGATTTTTAAGTCGTATGATAGAATGTAACATTACATCATCTCTTTACCCCCACTTATCCACATAAGAAGCATTGAGTCACTCAAGTTATTGACAACTTTATAAATTAATTGGGGAATGCATATTGGTGGGTGTCGTGTCAGGTGGTGTTGGCAGGGGAGCAATTCTCCAATCTTTGGTGCTATGTATGGGCACAACAAATCTGCCAGCTCTTAGAAAAAACAATAAACAAGAATAAAGACAGAAGCAAACAAGAGAAACTTACGTGGTTTGGTCGCATGAGTAGAAAAGATTTGTTGTGGTTATGGCATGCATGATAGTAGTGTTTCTTATATTTTGTAAGCATATTCGGAAGCCTTCACAATATGCTCTACAATCCACACTCCACGGTGCATTACAAATAAAAGAAATTAGAAAATGCACCAAAAAGCTTTCTTTAAGTTAATTCTTTTGAGTTTTAGAACTGAACATAGCCTTTAGTAAAATAAAAATAATGTATAGTGTAAACTGAAAGGCAAGAGAAATAACAAAGAGGAAGGCTGCCTTCCCCAATACAATCGGAACTCAAATTACGGGTATTAAAAAATTCGCAATTATCTATGTTAGTATTTTAAAATACAACAAAGAGTTAATCTCAACAGTTCCATTCTTTTTTTAAAAAGAAAATATTTGGGATAATTAAATTATTTTAGACTAAATTTCAAACACCTTAAAATTAATTCCTTTTTAAGTAATTTTTTTTTTTGAATAAATTCACAAAAGGCTAGATTCGAACTTGGAGGTGGAGAAATGCATTTATACGTGATCTATATGTGATCTAATGTCACTGGATCCGAAGGTCCAAATGTCCTTTTTAAGTAATTTTAAAAAATTATATTCCTTAATTTTTATATACAAGATTTTTATGCCTAACCTTTTTAAATTGTTTCTCTCTCTATTATTAAAATTTTTCGTTGTAGAGGAAAACATTGAGTATGACCTGAAATGAAAATAAACAATGTTAAAATCAAGTAGCTCATGAATAATTCGGCTCATTTACCACCAAAATAAAAATAATCAACTGGTTAGATGAAGGAAATGAGATTTTTATAGGATCTTTCTGTATATGGGAATTAGGTAAGAGATGACACTTTTTCTGTTTAATGTATGGAAATGGATGTTGTTTTGGCTCCCCTTTTGTCTTGAACCAATGGCATTGCTTTTCCAAACTTCCATTAGGCCATTACGTGGAATCTGAGTGGTATTTCATTGCTTACCCACCATAGGTAACTTTAATTATTGTTAGAATGAATCTTGTATAAAGCAATTTGCCACAGGTACTTTGTCCTGCTCCATTCCCTTTTCTTTTCATATGTTCCAAATAAGCAATGGATTATTGAATTTCCTTTCTAGAAAGGTAGAAAAATACCTAAAGACTCGTGACTTGTGACTTAATTGATAAGAGAATTTTTTTATTTCATTGACCAAAATTTGATTCTTTAATAAAGCAAATGAGGAGATAATTTTTCATAAATTCTTTAATCTCAACGTGGATGGTCTTCTTTTTATCATACCAAAGAGGAATTAATTTTAGACTGTGTACAAACTAACCTCAAGACATTTTGACTGT